CAAGTTCAAACAGAAAAGTGAAGTAAATTCGCAGGCTTTCCGTAAAATATATCTGCTCCCAAAAGTGGGTTCTTTTTTTGTCCCACCCGTGACAGAAAAAATAACTCAAGTTTTTTCCATATACAAGTTAGCTGGAATTTTTTTCGTATTTTGTAATAACTCTTATAATAACCAATTAGTTGTAGTCTTATAAAAATGTAGAACTGTTGAAGACTTTGTACTTAAAACAAGAAAAAAATTTGCTTCTGTAAAAATGTTTCACCATGACGGTGGAATCGCCCCTCTAACTATTCCTTTTCATAATTTTCTTTTTTTTGTCTTGCACGTTTTTTTCTTTATTTTATTGTTAACTTTGTGATCGCGGTGGCAAAGATCATCATATCAATGGAACCCTTACTTTAATAACTTAAGCTCTCCCCCCTGCAGTAACCAGGTGAGTGCGTTCAACCACTTCATTATACCCTACATACAGGGTGTCCCAGAAGTAACGTGCCAAACTTTAGGGGAAGGTAGGTGGGGGGGGTGAGCTCCCAGATAAACAAAAAATTTTCAGGTAAAAGTGTCACCGTTTTTGAAATATTTACATTTATTCGAATTTCAAAAAAATCGTGCCTTTTCATGTGTTTTCTTTAACTGCAACTACAAATCGGGCAATACTTAGTAAATTTTTTATGTAAAATACTTCCAGATAGTTGCCTCTCCATACTCAAATGCAATGTAGTTAAAATATATTAAGGAACCATCATAAAATTAGGACTATTTCTGAATCTTTAACTTTTTGATATTTTCTTCCCCAACTTTGACTATATCGGGTGAAAAAACAAATTTACCGGGAAAGAAATTTACATTACATAAAAAAATTGCTCATTTAATAACGATTTCAGAAAGGTGCACCACTTACAGTTTTGAATAGAAAAAAAAGTTATAGCCGCTTTTGTGGGTAAAGGACTGAGACACGCTAGAATGTATTTAATAGATTTAAATTGAATTTGCTCTTGTTACCGTCAAATGACATGCTAAATAGTACAAAGGTACATAATTACTTGCTTCTGACATTATTTTATATTACTTACCGGAATTAGTGAAAGTGGATTTTGTGAAATTGGACCCTTCGAACATTGTGTTATTAATACTATGACAGAGAACACGCAGTATACGTCGCATGAATATGCGGATATTCACCTAATTTACGGTGAAGCTTGCTGTAATGCCAGAGCTGCTCAAAGACTCTATGCAGAACGATACCCCAATCGTCGACATCCGGGTCGTGAAGTATTCGCCCGGACCCATAGAGAAATATATGAAGGTAAGTGATTTTTACACCTTTCTTGTTTGCTTGCTTGTTAACTATCATTTTTCACTTTTTTAAGGTCACATACCTGGAAGTCGTGGCGGCGAAACAGGTCCTCCTGCAACGGTAGATGTTGAAGCTGTCTTAGAGGAAGTGGAACTAGGCCCATCGACTTCAGTGAGAATGATGGAAAGACGGACGGGAATACCAAAAACTACAGTTCACAAAGCTTTAAAAGACCATCGATTTCATCCCTACCACATTCAACGTGTTCAGGCTCTACAGGAAAGAGATTACCTGTCGAGGGTTAGATTTTGCCGTGAAATGTTGCGAATGCATGCATCAGACCCCAACTTTTTTAATCAAATAATTTGGAGCGATGAATCATCATGCAAACGCGATGGTTATTTTAATTTACATAACCTTCACAGTTGGCAGATAGACAATCCTCACGAAATGAGAGAATATCGTTCGCAGTACCGGTACAAAATAAATTTATAGTGCGGTATTTTTAATTGTCAGATATTGGGACCTGTGGAACTGCCGCCAACGCTCAACTCTCACAGTTATTCAGAGTTCCTTCAGGAACGGCTTCCAACTCTTTTGGAAGATGTACCCTTAAACCTGCGGCGAAGACTATGGCTGCAAAATGACGGGTGCCCTGCTCACTACGGGCGTGAAGTAAGAGCTCATTTAGACGAAACTTATCCTCGCCGATGGAATCTATGATACGGGCCAATCACGTGGCCCGCTCGATCGCCAGACCTGAATCCATTAGATTTTTTCCACTGGGGCTGTCATAAGGACAAAATTTATTCAAAAAAAATTCAAAACGAAGAGCATTTGCGGGAACAAATAAATGGAGCTGCTGCTGAGATAGCCCAATTGAGTTTAAGATCTCTAAAAGCGTCTTTTCTTATAAGGTGCCGAGCTTGTATTAGAGTAGAAGGTCGCCAATTTGAGCATATTTTATCAATAAATGAATAAATTTTTCTTAAAACAACTCATGTATATCTTATTTCACGTGAACCCATCCTTCACACAAAATATTGATAGATATAGCCCTTGTTATAGACTCTAGTCCGAATTCCGGTAAGTAACATAAAATAACAAGAGCAAATTCAATTTAAATCTATTAAATACATTCTAGCGTGTCTCAGTCCTTTACCCACAAAATCGGCTATAACATTTTTTTTCTATTCAAAGCAGTAAGTGGTGCACCTTTCTGAAATCTTTATTAAATTATAAATTTTTTTATGTAATGTAAAGTTATAGCTCAGTACATTTTTTTTCACCCGACATAGTCAAAGTTGGGGAAGAAAATATCAAAAAGTTAAAAATCCAGAAATAGTCCTAATTTTATGATGGTTCCTTAATATGTTTTAACTACACTGCATTTGAGTATGGAGAGGCAACAATCTGGAAGTATTTTACATAAAAAATTTACTAAGTGTTGCCCGGTTTGTAGTTGCAGTTAAAGAAAACACATGAAAAGGCACGATTTTTTTGAAATTCGAAAAAATGTAAATATTTCAAAAACGGTGACACTTTTACCTGAAAATTTTTTGTTTATCAGGGAGCTCACCCCCCACCTACCTTCCCCTAAAGTTTATATGCACATATGTACATATATCCATTTGCACAATGAAGTGTATGTACATATGTTATTCATATATGAACATGCTAGTATATACATTAGGGCGGGTTGATATTTTTTTTTAATCGTATAGCAGAAACGTAAACTACATAAAATTCTAAGAAAATTCTCCGAAGAAACCATGTATCTGAAATAAAATCCTAATCCGCGCCTCTCGACTTGGAAATTTATATGGCCGCCTTTGCCAAAAAAATAAATGTTAGAAAAAATTGGTCTTTCCAAAAAGAAATCGAATTTTCTGAATAAAATTGTTTAGTAAGGTTGTTCTTTTGCACTTTATATTTTTTCTACACTCAAAATTTTGTTTCATTAAAAAAAATATTCAACCAAGTAAAAAAGTTTGTATATAATTTTATATTTAATATTTTTATAAGGAACATAGATAAAAAAAATTTCTTTCATAATTTAATAAAAAAGATTGAAAATGCAAAATAAAAAAAAAATGCACTCAAAAAATTGTTTTCAGTAATTATAAAATAACCAAAGCAGCAAATAAGCAAAGCTGAGGCAACGGCATCTTACGCACTTAAACGAAAAAAATGCCAATATACAAGAGAACAATTTGATGAGATAAACTGGATTAGAGCTCATGTTTTTTTTTCTGTTTTAAGAAGTTTGTTTTGCCTGTTTTATTAAAAAAGAAAAAAAAAACTATATTTTTTAATTATTCTTTGTTTTATGCAAAACGCAGTTTAGGTGAAACGTGTTCTAACTCTTTTTTATATAGAACGCAAATCAGAGGAGATGCAAATTGGGGTTCAACTGCTTTTTTGATAATTGAATATTTTGATTAGTCTCAAAACAAAACCTGTATTGCACAAACTATAATATAATATAATAAAACATAATATATTTCAAAAAAAGAAAATAATTTTAGCGAAAGAAGAGGAAAAAAATTTTCAAGTCGAGAGGCGCGGATTAGGGTTTGATTTTAGACCCATGGTTTCTTCAGAGAATTTTCTTAGAATTTAATGTAGATTGCGTTTTTGCTATACGATTTTTATATATTTTTTTTCATCCATACAAATCAACCCGCCCTTATATACATATATATGTAGGACACTGACCTAAGGCTTTGTTGGGTGAACATAATAAGTTGTTTGTTCATACATATGTGCACGTGCCAGAGTTGTGAAAAATGCATTAATTTTTGAATGCATTGATAGTATTTAAAGCACGAACTTAAATGTAAAAAATTAATGCATTAATTTTTGAAATTTATTGCAAATAAAAATTTCAATGCACTAATTCTGAAAAATATAATGCTAATCCAATGCAAAAAAAAAATTCATTAGCATTATTTCTTCGGGATTAATGCATTTAAATTTTAATTTACATCAAATTTCAAAAATGAATGCATAAATTTAAACCGGGGTTACGAGTTGAATTTTTTTATCAAGAATACTAAAAATTAGCTTTCTCCGTTTTTTTTTTCCTTTTAGTTTAATCTGTTTCATATATTTGTTTATATATAGAATTACAAAGTTCAATAATACATACATATACCAAAGTTTGTTGCAGAAGTTAAATTTTTCTCAGGTTATAGCATTAGTTCTGAATTACTCATATATAGGCAAATAAAATAAAGAAAAGGAGTGAATACGTATTATGAAACTAAGATTTGTATTTTTCGATAGGTGAAGGGTTTAACAGCGGTATGGAGTGATAGATTATTAATTTTTGGTGTGGGTGTTGTGCTTGCGAGATCAAGGGGAAGTGTGGTTGACATAATGCCGATACGGAGAGGACCGTCTTGGACTGACCGACATAGATACTTGTCAGGCAAAGGGAACGCTGCTAAAAGGAAGGATTCGCAGCAGCGTCCATGGCTTCGTGGAGTACACGCAGAAGGCGACGACTCCACCTGGGGCGACTCCACCTGACTCGGACTGTCTCTCTTTACGTTTCTTTACATTTCTTTTGTCCTGTTTTTCTTTTGTTTTCCATTCTTTTTGTAACACTGCAACTGCTCAAAATCAGGCATTATTAAATTTTTTTTTGTTAATATAGCTAAAGCCAAGGAAGGTCTGCATCCCCCCACTGGCGAGCTAGCCAGGGCCTGCAAGCATGCCTGCATGCTGCCCCTCCTTGTCCAAGTAAGCGGCTATATAACACTCTTAAAACCTTCCAAATTTTCAAACTAAAGATTTCTTAATATTCTTTCGTTTGACTCTCGAAATTTTATATTTCATATAACTTTTGTATTAGTTAATTAAATTAAACCTTTGAAACAGATGGCAGCCTTCTTCAAAGGTAATATTTTCAAGCTAAAACCTTGTTATCTCTCCTTTTTCTAACATTGCGATACATATATTAATTAATTGACGAGTTAAGTTAACACCTCTAAAATATTCTTAGTGTTCAAGCAGATGGTAGCCCTCTTCAAAATATTTTCAAACTACTACCTTCTGAAACCCCTTTCGTTTCGTTTTCGATACATATTTCTCTTACCTAATTCCCTTAGTTTAAATCGATTTTGTTTTTTTTTTTAACCCTCCCATAGTTAAGTTAAGAAAAAAACATTTAAAAACCTTTTCGATTGATACCCATTTTGTAATAATTGATTTATTTAATTTTTAAGAGGTGGCAACTCATTTCGGAAAATAAGGTTTTTATTGCAAATCTACAGCCGAAACCGTTTAATTTAGCACGTTCGAATGATCGGTGTAGATCTTATGAACTGGACAAAAAATCCCTAGATAATCGCATAGTCCCTTGAGTGACCGAATTGCCACGATCCGTTTTAGAGCTAAATTCAATTATATCATCCTAATTTGGGTGCACGTCCGTTTGGAGGAGAAGGGCGATGAGCCCAAGCAGCGTGTCTATGAGCGCCTAGGAAAAGCATACAAGCACTGCTTGAAAGCTTGGGTCAAACCGCTAGGCTGTTAAAAGTTCTGAAGAATGCCCAGCTACAAAGCCGAGTTCACTCAGAAAGCCTGATGGCTCTTTCTCGCAAACTAGGATTGAGACTCTCTCTGCTCTTCTAGAGACTCACTTTCCTGGATATCAGGTGATTCTTACGCCTTCGAAGGAGACGGAGAATGCAAGAAGCACTGTGCCGAGCCTGTTGACAATGGCACCTTCGATAGCATGTGCAATTCTACTCTACGACATGGAGTAGATTCTGTACTAGTAAATTCGTTCGGGTCATCAGGATTCAGGCAGCTCTCCACTCTGGTGTCTGATAATTGATTCCCTTCTTGTCACTCTTAATGATACTGATATCTACGCTAAAGCCTATGCAGACGATTTGTCTACCCAGTCACGGGCCCATCGCTGTCCGCTGTTTGCAGGAAAGCGCGACAATGTGGTGTAATGGAAATGTGATAACCGCTAACCAAACCAAAACTAGTTTTGTGCTCTTCACTAGAGAGAGTAACAATTCAGACTTCTCCAGAAGTGAAGTATCTAGGAGTATTACTAGATTCAAAACTATCGTGGAAATCTCACATGGAGCACAAGACCATAAAAGCATTGACGGCAATTTACATAGTCCTTTGGACCTCTATGATCAGACCCATAATTAGCTAAGAGTCAGTGGTATGGTGGAGCATGAAAAATCTGCTTGATAAACTTAAGGAATTTATCGAAGATAATGGGGACAACCTTCACACTCCTCTTAGACATATTCCCCGGTCTTCCAGCTTGAGAAAGTAGTTTACGTCTGATACCCTGGAAGGGGTCGAGGGGCTGCAGGTGGGCATAACTCATTTTTCCCTCAATCTCAGAAGGCTTCAGACAACTTGTAGAACTTATGACTGGTCCCTTCACGTGGCGCAAACACCTGGCTATGGACAAGTGTACATGACAACTCCATTTGCCCATCCTGCCTTGAAGAGAATGATACGGTGGAACACTTTTTCCGCTACTTCCCCTACTTTGCAAGAACGAACCCCTTAGCTCTCTGACACTCAAAAATCTGCTTCGATTTATTCATAAATCGTGCAGTTTTAAAAGAGGTTAAAAGGGATATGAAAACAGTACAGTGAGTGCTGTTGTCTGCACGAGAACACCAGCATCTAAATATCCATAAAACAACTTGGGTATTCCCTGATTAAAAGGCCAAGAACCAAATTGATCACGTTGTGGTAAAAGTTGTGATACGCCTCAAGCGTTCTTGGGTGCGTTCCATCTGAGAAGCCAAGTCTGTCCGCATGCGCCTGTGTAAGATAAAGAACATGCGTCCACCTGCGCAACGTCGGAGAATTGCAGTCGCAACGGCCAATCGAGAACTTTCAAAATCCACTCACAACTCTGTTACAGGCAACTTTGCAGGGACTCCATATGTATATGCATTTGTTTATCTGGTCCGATATTCTTAGTTCTGGGGGTTGGCTGAAAAAAACATGTTGTTCCACCCTAATGTATGTACATGCGTTGCGAATTCAAAAATATTTGCTACGATCAACGTAAATGCATATGTATCTCATTATTTTTAACTTCTTTTTTATGTCTCATGCAGAAAGCATAATAAAACAATTAAGAAGAAGCACACGATCTAACTCAATATTTTTTTAACAATACATAAAATAATCTTTTAATTAAAATTCATCGCCCATAATGTATAGCTTAATACATATTTACAGTCGTATCATAAAATGTGTAAAACTCATAAATTTTATTGACATTTTTGCCTCGAGACATAGACAATACCCACTATGATTTCTAATAATACATATATATATGTGTATGTACAGATGTGTACGTTTGTATTTAATAATTCATTCCATAATTCTTGTTTTAAAATTAGTAATTTATGTACGCATCTTCTAATCGCTTAAATGCCTTGCAAATCAAGCATTCCCTGTAAATTTACGGTCTTGAAAATCATGTATGTATGTATGTACATACGATGTAGGCCGCTAGGCAGTGCAAATTTTTAATAGTTTCCACCTCACTTTTCATCTGCGGAGGATAACAACTTCCATGACTATTCCCCATGACTAGCGCTCAGAGATGGCCGCCTTCGCATGAATGACTTTGTGTAGTACAGGGTGGCGCCGAATGAGCTATATGGTTTAAATGGTTTATAACTTTTTTATTTATGCGACTATTATATATATTTTTTTTAAATACAGTATATTATTGGGGAATTTTTTGCAATTAGCTTTGAAAAACGATATCCTGTAAGTGATGTCCATTTTCTGCTTCGCACATACGTGCTCTTCTTAGCAAATCTTTAGGGATGGCAAAGTCGACTTCGACTTTCGACCAAAATCGACTTTTTACTCCTGAAAGTCGAATTTTAGTGATCGACTTTCAGTTAATGGAAGTCGACTGAAGTCGACTTTTCACTTTCGACTGTCGACTTTTTTTTAATTTATTTGCCAATAAAAACTGATCTTCCAACAAGCTCGCGGAGTGCTGTTTGGTCGTATTTAAAAAAAAAGGCAATAAAACTGAAGTCAAATGTGAAAAGTGTGGTAGCGAAATGAATTTTAATGACAGTACAACAGTACAAATCATTTAAGAGCAGCGCATAAAATTATTATACGAAAACAAATTCCTCAAATTTGTTAATCGTTTGTCTCCACAATCTTCAGTTAATAATGATGTAAGATAAACATATTATATTATTATTATATTTATTTTAACAATTTCATGCAAGAAAGTTTTTCTGCTTGAGTTTATGTAAGTTTTTACAGACAGTCTTTGGTTCGAATTTGACCAATCCGTAAGGTACAAAATTTTAAACACCGCTAAAAACGTTGCTGGTAGGATTCCAGTTAATATGCGACATTAGTCGTGGGGATAGTCCCAATCCACTAGCTGTCTGGGCTACTCCCATATTTATCCATGCTTATAAAGTGGCACTTATATTTCTACCAATACCCGCCAATTCTGCTCCATCGGAAAGGCCACATTTTTCAAAAAGTTGTCCGTAATTACCAAATATCGATTCAAAAATTTTTTAGAATTTTTTTTGTGAGAATTTAAAATTTTTTTTCAAAAATTTTCATGCCGTATAAATGGAGCAATTTTCAAAATTTTTAAAAATCCTTTAGTGTCTGTTTTTTTTTTACCTAGCATTGAATTTCACTAAATTACAGATTATTCTAAAGACCAAAAAAAGTCGAACAATGTCGACTTTTCTTCCTGGATCGGTCGACTTTTAAAGTCGACTGTACAGAGTCGATCAAAAAGTCGAAAGTCGACTTTGTAGTGAAGTCGAACAACCCTACAAATTTTTCATATATTTTCGCAGAATTTCGGGTGTAATGGCCATGATTTCATTTCGAATGTTGGTTTGGAGTTGGAGAATGGTTCTTGGTTTGTTAACGTATACTCTTTCTTTCAAATATCCCCAAAGAAAACTGTTAAAAAGAATTCAAACCATATAGCTTATTCGGTTTTTTTGGCCGAAATTACGATTTTTTCAAGGTAAAATGACGATTTTTCAGCAAAAGCATTCGGCAACGCTGCTGGCAGGTCATTTCCAGGCGTGGATCCCGTTGGCATAGAGTAATAAAAACTGTTATAAAGAATTCAAACCATATAGCTCATTCGGCGCCACCCAGTACAAAAAGCATTATAGTGAAGTCGTTCGTATTCGATCATGCGGCCTGATCTGATACACAGCAGCTACAACTGAGGCTGAGTCGCTGAAAAAAGTTTGGGATTTCAAAAAGAAAATACATCTTACCATTAATTTAATTCATGTAAGTTAATAGTAAAAAAAGTAAGTGCGCCTGGCCCACACTGGAGAAGTGAAACTTACATTACATATCTAGCTTACATCTTTGTTTTTATCTTTGCTTTTATCCTTTTCTTCATCTACATATTCTCCTAGATGATGTGAGGTGCGATGACGTGATAAGATGCCATGTGATATAATGTGAAATGACGTGATAGGATGTCAAGTCATGCCATCATGTGATGTTCTATCATATAATGTCACATCATGTGTATCGATAACAAAATCGTTATTAACATCGATAACAAAACAGATAAAGTTATCGATAACAATTTCGAAAAAAAATATAGATAGCAAAATCGATAACAATATCGATAACAAAATCGATAAAAATATCGGTATCAAAATCAACAACAAAATTGATTAAAATATCGATATCATAACCGATAAAAGTATCGATAAAAATATCGATACAGAAATCGATAATAATATCGATAGCACAATCGATAGTAAAATCGATAAATATAACGATAAAGAATCTATAAAAATATCGATAACAAAACCGATAAAAATATAACAAAATCGATAAAAATATCGATAAAAAATCAAAACAAAAATATCGATAACAAAACCGATAACAAAACCGATAAAATATCGTGGTTTTGCCGTAAACATTTGAATTTTACTTTTAAAGTTAAGTAATGTGTAAATATTCGCTGCCAACACTTATAAAGAAACGAATCGAGATAGATATATAAATGATCAGAATGAAAAGAGAAATCGATTAAGCGGTGACTGTCTGTCCGTCCGTCCGTCGTCAGCGTCATTCGAGACATCTAAGGGCTTTCATTGGACAATGTTTTTAGGTAGCGCATTCCGAACCCAGCGCATAATCAATTGCTGGAGGCCTTAGAAATAATATTTTTCTTAACAAATATTTCATTTATTTATTTTAACATTAAAACAATGAATTTATTAAACCCAAAAAAGTGTTTGTGTATAATACATACATATATGTATTTTCCTTCCATTTCAGAGGCCAATCGTACATGAACAAATATCGCTTCCTCATTACCGCCGGCATGCTTTACGGCCTGGTCGCTGTGCTCGCAATTCCGTCCATACTACGTTTACTGCAATGTACACGCCAGTCATCCACTTGTGCCACTGCTTTTCGACGCTACGTACGCACAATTCTGCACACATACGCCTGGTACGATTACTCACCAACGGCCGGAGAGAAATCGAAATTTTGGACTAGCCTACGCGCTGTACGCAAAGCGCATTCAAATTCTAGTCGCGCGTGTAACAAACTTGGTGCAGGCCAAATAACACAAAAGGATCTTGCGCTAACACAGTTCGGTTTTATTGGCTTTGCCACTTTGGGTGCGCCACGCGTGCAGCTGTACGATGAGGAATATTTCGAGAGTACGTCACATATGTGGCGTGTGCTCGGCTACTTGCTCGGCATCAAAGATGAATACAATATTTGTGGGCGCAATTGGGCTGAGACCAAATCAAGGCTGGACATTGTGATGCGACGTGTATATGAGCCGGCCTTAGCGAATACCAGCGCCGATTTTGAACAAATGACGAAGGCATTAATCGATGGTTTGTGGCCATTGAATACGACACTCACTACCGGATCGGTGCTTTTTTTTACCAAACGACTGGCTTGTGTGCGAGGTTATGAGTACTTTGAATTTGATCATCGTCCCGGTAGCCAGGCTGATGCGAAGCAAAAGCTCTACTATTACGATTTAGGCTGGTATGATCGCTTTCTCATAACGTACGGCCTCTACCTAGTGACCTATCTGCACAAATTTGGCATTGTGCGCTGGTATCTCAACTTCCGCATCTGGTTGAATACACTAATCTTTTATTACTTGCCTTACATAGCATTCTGGAAATATGGCATAAAACATTCGTATGTAAGAATTTTCACAAACGATGGCAGAGAGCAGGATTTCGAGTTCCATTTGAAAGCAGATTGAAAAGCATTACCTGGATTTGATCATTCAATACAAATGCTATGTGCATTTCATTCTAAGTTTTGTATATAAATAATAAAAAAGCATACATATTTATATATACATGAGTAAATTTTAATGCATGTATGTAGGTACGTTATAAACTAAATAAAAGTCATTACGTTTATTTTTAATAATTTTTTCGAAAGTTTATAATCTCTCAAGTATGCAAGTGTGAGTATGCCTGTCTGCTAAAAGTATGTACATATGTATATTCTTGCATTTAAATCGGTGTATAAGAAGTCGTGCCATAGCCCAAGCTGTACATTTGCTGATCAATCCAATCACGCGCCGTCGCCACGCTTGCATACGCTGCAGGTATATCATCCTTGCAGCCGATACCCCACGACACAATGCCATCCTGCTCGTAACGATTTTCCGCAGGCAACCCAATTGGACAGACTAGTGGTGCACCGCCATCTCCTTGGCATGTATCGATACCACGCACGCCACCAGCGCAAATAAATGAACGGTCGAGCACGAATTTCTGTCCCAAACGTGTGCCGCGCAAGCGCGTCTGACAGCTGCCAAAGTCCACAATAGGCAAGGGCACACGCTTCATAATGGTGCTATAACGTCCAGCCTCACCGAAATCATCCTTACCCCAACCGTTGGCGAAGCACTGCGTATTGGCAAGCGGCGCTGCATTTTGCTGTGGCAGACAGACAACATTGATGTGATCGGCCAAGACAAGTGGTTGACTTAGTACCACCAAAGCGAAATTATTACCAACATTACGTGAATTAAATTTGGGATGTGTAATGATGTTTTGCACACTGCGCTCCTGATAGGGTAGACGCTCTTTGGTGGTCTGTGAGTCCCACTCACCGGCGCGTATCATGAAACTCGAGACCGCACGTCCAATAACGCAATGCACTGCCGTCAGCACCACTTGCGGGTGTATAAGTGAACCGCCACAGAAGTAGCTATAATTGCCGGCCTGCAGTAGTGCCACAGTCCAAGGGAACTCACCAAAACCAGCCTCGTTATCATAGGCACCTGTAATGTTGAAATCAATTCCACCAACATTGCGTATGCCACAACCTTTTTGACGCTCAGGCCGTTGTTCTTGTGGTTTGGGCGTGAGGCTGTCGCTACGTCGCCTTTGACTATCGCAACAGACATCGAGGAAGTGTTCGCACACAGGATCGTCGTTGTTGAAGCGTATGTCGATCAAACCGAACCCGTCAAATTCACCATCCTCAACTGATGTGGTTTCAGTGCCCGTGGTGGGATCACACATGTGATATGGTACACAGTTACATGGTCCCCGGCCACTTGTCGAGTTGAATTCGATTTGCGGTTGTGAGGGATC